TGAGACAGTACCTTCCAAATCCAAACAATACGTCTATTGCTTTTCATTGGGTGAACGACTAGCCCAGAGGCAGGGTTACTGACTTAACAATTCCCTTTAGAGTCATCACAATACGGTCTTATGCAATCATATGACTGCTGATTCAAAAAGTAGGCATTTAAACTTCTGTAAATTATATAAAATTATTTAAAAAAATAAAATTTTAGCGTTGTGTTGTCACAACCCTTGCATAATCAGAATAAAGTAACTAAATGCAAGTCCACGTAGAGCTAAAATTCAAGAAAATTACAAGAGAAAAAAAAAGTATCGAAATTGAAAAAAGAAAAGTAGCTATTCATCAATGTGAAGTTTTCTTCACCTATGCTTGAAGGCATATCCACGTAGAATTGAAGAATAGTTCAAGAAAAGAAAAGTGAGTAAAAGTAAACAAAATTGCCTAAGTTTAAAAGAGAGAAACTAAGAAGGCTTCATTTTGTAAGAAAATTAAATTACATGAACATTTTGCAAGCATAAGTTAATAGTTAAGAAAAAAAAAGTTTAAAGTTTATTATCAAAAATGAAAATCAACAAATTCAGGTCACTGCAAGTAACGGAAATCGTCACGTAATACAGGTTCAATCTAAATTTTGATCAAAAACTAATTGCGTTTGATTACTGACCATTGATTTGTATCAATTTTAAAGCGGAGGATTCAAATTGCATTGCAATAAAGATAAATTGGACTTTCCTGCTTGTATGGTTAGAGTTTCATAACAAACCGCAATAAAAAAGTTCGTTATTTTATCACTGTAAAAACGAAATTGCGTAAGAACTCTCAAAAATAGTTCAAGCGGAAATTACCGTAATTATTAAGCTGAAACAACAACTTAATTTTAATCACTCGTTTGCAAGATGTTCAGATTTTACTTAAAGATTTCAAATAACTCAAAAACCAAACTGACAAAAGGGACTGAATTTTACCCAGAAAAATTAAATAAAACGAAAAAATGAAAAATATTTAGTCTTTTGGCTCAGAGAAAGGTATTCTAGTCGAAACCAAGCTTAAGAAAAAGCAAAAGTAGATTTTCACGACATAGAGAAAGAAAATTGGAAAGAAAAATAAATGTCCAAAAATGAATAAGACTTAGAAAAGCCAAAAATAAATTTCAACCGATCATAAAATCAAAATTTCTATATCGAAACAACTCTTTACATGATTGACACAGCTATATTATCACTTAATAAAAAAATTTAAGAAAAGAAAATCGAAATAAAGAATAGAAAAGAAAATTGAAATACTGTTTTGCACTTTTAAGCTCAAAGGCTTTATAAAATTTATTTAAAATAGGATTCAAAGATCCATATATTGACCACAAAAGTCTAACAAAAGATAAAAACACGCAAGATCAAAATTCTGTTGGCTAGCAATTTTACATTGGAAAAATATGAAGTTTTTGAAAACAAAATTAGAGCATAAATAACTTGAAAAACTCATGAGTTTACATTCACACTGAGCGCTCAAAACATTCACACGGAAAAGAGATGAATTTTTCAAGAAAAACTGATTCGAAAGATTTTAAGAGTAAAAATTTAAACGAGTTAACTGACCAAAACGTAAGACAAACCACGTTTGGCCTTCCAAATACTAGGAAATTAAAGGAAAAACACTTTTTATGTATATAAAAGTAAGCCAGAGTAGGAAATTTGATCTGGGATGTTCTGATTTTACGCGTATGAACTTAGCATATTGCGTTTTATTCAGAGAAAAGAAAAACGTATCACTAAAGTTTTCCATAACTTAAGTAACAAATGTCTCAAAGACAAATTATGTCACTGAAAACTACAAGTTTGAAAGAAATTTACCATAAAAATACAAAAGTTAAACATAAAAGTTAAAACAGTATTTATAAAAAGCTAAGAGAATCAAATTTTATGATCTCAGAAATATTTAAAAGCTTTTTATTTAAGAAAACGACTACTGTCAAAGAGATTAGCCATTTACGCCGGCGCTAACTCAGAAATATGACTTTGAGTCTACAAAATTATTATGGCTCTCAAATGGCCTTTAACAAAAATAAATTGACACCATTCCCTAAAAGAATATATTGGGTCATCGAAAAACCAGTTTTATACAAGGCTTGGCGGCCACAAAAATATAATTGTTCTGAAACTCTTGTTCTCCAATCCAATGCGTGCAATTGTCACTCAGTGAATTACTTGTCTTACCGCAAATGTTTGATATTCGACAATTGTCACTCAGTGAATTACCAATCTTCTAGAAATAAAATGTAATTCTTAGATTAATTGTCACTCAGTGAATTACTTAATCATGGAATTACTAACATGCATGGGCCAGTTGTCACTCAGTGAATTACCTGAAACCCAGCAAGTAAAAGAAAATCAAATACCATTTTGTCTGTTGGGATGTTGTCACTCAGTGAATTACCAATCCCTCACCAAAAATGGAATAAAAAAAATAATTTTTGCCTGTTGGGAAGTTAGCACCTAGCGAATAACTATAACCCTCACAAAAATGTAAAAAAAAGAAGCTTTTTCGTCTGTTGGGCAAAACCCTCACAAAAAAGTAATAAAAGAAAATAAAAAGAGCATCTACAGGCTCGTGGGATCCCTAAAAATGTAGAAAGAGGAGTTGCATATGACATGGGTGCGCTTTCCCTATCGCTAACATTCACTCTTCTACGTAGATTTATCACGGCACTAAAATGGCCTTTGGCACTAAAAATGGCCTAGGATGGAGGTCCAAGTGTTTCAAGAACAAAGAAAATAGCTGGTCTAATCAAGAGGTTCGATTTTACACAAATTATCAAGAGAAAAAGAAAAATTTAAAAGTTTGCATTTTACAAAGTAGCAAAACTTAAAAAATTAATCTCTGCTGGAACTAGTAGCGCTAACGAAAATTAAACTGCGTTCTAAAAATAAGAGGCCTGTTTCACACGAACAAAAGCACTCAAATTTAAACGAAAGAATAACGCGTTTAAATACAACTAAAAATTGACTAAAGAAAGAATTGAGAAAAATAATTTGCTATGCGAACAAAACAAAGTTAATAACGAACCTTTGAACAAATTACTGTCGCAAGCAAGAATAAACGAAATTTAAACTAAATTATAAAAAGCAAATCGACGCATTTTAGAATACAAAAAATCGACGCATAATTTTTAAGCATAAAAAAAAGTTTTAAACTACACCTCGTGGATGTTGCAATGGCTGCCCAGAGACACAGCAATACCCACAAACTGTAGTGGACTGGCAGTATTTAAGTAAAAAAAGTTTAGGCACTCAACAAAAAGAATAAAAAATTTCTGTAAGGGCACTGAATCACTGACAATAAAATTAGATTAAACATATTTACACAAAAGAAAAATTAAAGACACTGTATTGGGGAAAAAGAAAAGAAATTTAAAGAAAACGCATATCTGTCTTTTGAGAATTAAAATTAAATAACAAAAATAAGATAAATTGAAACTACTTATTCGAAAATCGAGAAAAAGAAAATAATCAATAGTTCTACGATCAACAAAAGAAATTGAAAGGAGGGTTTCGGCACCACTTGTAAGATGCGAAACTATTTAATTAACAGAGAAAAATTAATGGTTCAAAAGGAGGGTTTCGGCACCACTTGTAAGATGCGAAACTATTTAATTAACAGAGAAAAATTAATGGTTCAAAAGGAGGGTTTCGGCACCACTTGTAAGAACCACCCCTTATTTAAAATACTAAGAAAATGGTTCTCCTTCCTTCAGAGATAGACTCGATTCCATATAATGCGTAATTTCATACTTTTACGACTTACTCTTACATGGAATCAACTCTTATCACTGGAGGAGCAGTTGCTAAGACATAATTGACGAAATACTCTGAAATTCACCCTTAAAGTGAAAATCCAAGTATTTGGACAATTACACCTGCTAAAATAGTGTGGGAGAGTTTGATTAGAAAACTGAATTGGAAAGAAAAAGGTAAAACTTAAAAATTAACAAGAAAATAATGGAAGACTAGATAATGCGTTTCAAATGGACAGATTTTAATAATTGAAATTTAAGGTGCTGAAGGCACGAAGAAAAGGGGACAAAATATAAAATAAAATGAAATTACATCACCAAAGATATCAGAATCCAGAGGTACAAAACTGGATCATCCTCGAAGTCGTTGCAAAGCACAAAATAACAATGCTGCAAAAAGAGGATTAGTAACACACAAACAAAATACATCTTTAATTTTCCTTATGGAAATAAAATGAAAAATATTTAAAAATTGAAAACAGTCTTTCAATAGACTTCAAAATATTGCGTTGAAGACGCTTAAATAATTTAGGAGCTTAACAAAGGCTCAAATCGAAATGAATAAATAAATGAAAGTCTAAAAATGACTTCATAATTTTATGCAGAAGGCATTTACAGAATAATCATATTTAATAGAGTAAAATATGCAAAGCATATGAAAGTACAGCGTTCCTGCAAAAGAAAATAAGGATTAGGACGGCTTATAGCAAGAGCTGAGGATTCCCACCGGCCGAGGCATCCGGAGGTAGCCCAGCAAGTTGACTCTTGCTCTGTAGCTGGAGAACTGTCACTCTGAAACGAAAAATAAGATGCTCGAGAAGCGAGGCTTTTGATAAGGGCGATAAAGCGCTATTAAAAATAATGACTGAAGTTGCAAGAGATTACAGATTGTAGCTTAGATTGTGCTCGGACTGAAAATAATCAAGTTTGTAAAAAGATGGAAAAAATTTGGAAAAATAAAACAGGGATCGTGAACATCACACTACCTAAGGTCAATTCCAAAAAACTTCCGTGATGTTTCCTCTTTGTTCAAAGAAAATTGTGTTAATACTTCAAAGAGGGATGATGATTTGTCCTCCTTCAAAAAAAATAAAACAGGAGCGAAGATTTTGTAACATCGCAACCGAGATAAGTGGTTTGGGAGTTTGACCGTCAATGTATAAAGTAATGCATTCCGAAGGGGCGAGAACTGTAACATTAGCCGCATATTAAATATACCTGTTGAATTCCTCTTTGATCTGGGGAATGCGAATAACCGTCTTGCCACACCTGTCGTTGAGAATCTTGGTTTGCCCCGAGATCTTGGACTGTTCGGCTTATATACGTCGGATTTTTCGCTGTAAAAAACACAATTTCCAAAATTTTACATATCCTGGCGGGATTCAAATCCAGAGGGTGCCAAAATTTATGCCTTAAAAAATATAAGTGCGAATCGCTATTCCCCCCCCCCCCCCNATGTATTGGTAAGGAAGTAAAATTACGGATTACATAATTCATAATGACATTGAAGACAAAGTAGGTATCTGAGAGGGATGAGTCTATCATAGTATCAGATAAAAAAAAAAAAAAACCAACAACAACAACTAAAGTGTATGGGTTACGGTTATAGGTATAGTTAATTAGTATTAAGTAGATCCATACACTGGGGGGAAAAAAGAAAAAAAAAAAAAAACATTGGATCTAGGGTCTAGACTCTTGAAAACATTGACAAGAAAAAATACTCTTGATTCAATCGGATTTTTGCTTGAATCGAAACGAAATCCGCTTAAATTAAGAGGCTTGGTTCTTGATTTAAGGTAGATTCTGATTGAATCACGAGTACTTTTTCTTGTCGATGTTTTTGAGAGTCTGGACTCTAGATCCAATGTGTTCTTTTTTCCAGTGTACTCAAATAGAGCGATATTTCAAATGACACCCCCGATTTATAAACCATTCTACATCACGATTTACATAATTAAGTTGTTCGACAGATTTGATTTATATTATTCAATATTTTTTGGTACGTATTGTGCTTAAACCCTAATAATAAGTAGTGAATTTATTTTAATTACTGTATTCGAAGATTTTAGCGAGTCGAACAGATCCCCATCTGAAACAAGTTGCTACCATTCCACTGAAACTGAAGTCATACTCCGAGCCGAGGTCCTTGTATTCCTCTTGATAAGATCCTAAAATGATACTTTTCAGTAAAAATATAAACGAGTTTAAAGAAAATCCATATTTTCTTTCGTCTGGTCTCATTCGTGATAAAAATCAGACTTTATAAACTTTACTCACATTGCTGAAAATGTGACTGAAAACGTATGATATCCCAAATCTGAGCTCAGATTCGGATTCCTCGTTGAAAATCGATGCAATTCCATGTATCATACGCTAGCATAGCGTGATGGAAAGAGGCGTAGCGCAGGCATACTGATTCTGCTTAGTTCAACTTGGCAACACGGGCAGTCACTGAGTAGGTCAGCTGATGAGTAAGAAGAATATTTTCGCTTCGCGGAAATCCTTCGGTACCGAATGCTAAGCGCCGGCGCTCGGGCGGCGTAGATAAAGGGGTTGAATTCCTTCATGATAAATTCTTCTTCCTCTTCGGCTGACCTACTTATCCATCTTGGATTATTGGACTGATTCGTTCGAGTACTTGTCTTCATGCTATGCTAACGTGTGGTACATGTTTCCCCATCGATTTTTCACGAGGAATCCGAATCTGAGCTCAGATTTTGGATATCTAGCGTGTTCATATATTCAAAAGTGTATGAGAAATTGCCAGGGTGTTCTCGAAAATTTATCACGTAGCAGGTAGTGTTTTTATTTTTATTTTTTTAAATTTGCTTTATGTTTGCTTGTTTTTCACTCGGATCACGATCTGATCACGATGAAGAATTAAAAATAATCTTTCTTGTTTCCATTTATCTAAACAACTTGCCCATGAAATATATTGAAATCAAATAAACAAATGAAAAATAAAAACCACCGAATAATTACCGTTTACTTAAATGTGGATGAATTGATCAAAAAGGGCAACCCAAAAGTGCGTAATATTGTTACCCCTTCCTCCCCCCCCTCTCGGCCGATCCCCTTGTGCACCGCAACGCTGAGCTGTGCAGGATCTTCCTTCCACCCCCTCCCCCTTATCCAAAAAACTACGCTAACGGTAACCCTGAAGCCCTCCTCAAAATAACTAGATGGCGAAGAAAATCTGGAGTCGGTCCCCTCCGAAAGTCTTTCAATGTTTTGCGAAGGTACTGCTTCAACCCGCTCGTACAGGTACTCAGATTTTCATTGCGTTCCTCTAATTCCAGGCCACGCATCGCAGATGCTCCTATTAAATTTCGTACTTCAGTTTGGGAGTATGAACACAAAAGAAATGACGACATCTGCTGTCTGCCTCTTTCATCGGACAGCATTTTGCAATTAGGAACTATAAATTCCGGTCCGGTTTAAAAACAACGTATGTGCCATTAGTTTCCCTATGCACATAAGTGTTTTTTTCAAATGAACCAGAATGTATAGTTCCAAATTGCAAAATGCGGTCCATCTCATCTCCGTCATGAAATTGGCGAGGAGGCCCATTTTCCATATAACGTCTCCCCGTCGCAGTGAAGCCGCATATCGACGATGAAACTGCAAAAATGCGTATCTCGGTTGCGTTGTTTCAAAATCTCTGCTCCTATTTCATTTTTTTACGGGATACTAAGTCAACATCATGGATTGAAATTTTCGTGAAATACTCTTCGCATTGCGAAAACAAATCAGGGAAGTTTTAAAGAAATGACGTTGTGTAGTTTTCCATGTGGGAAATGAATTAAGACAGGAACTCTGCATTGACTCAACCGATAGATGCATTCCTGCAATTTCATCATCGAATCAGGAGAGGCTTTAATGCAGATTTCACCCATATACGCCAGCCGATCTAGTTAGTGAATTTTATCAGTATTTTTTATAATTGGATTGCATTTTGCAAAAAGGAACCACTAGCATATCAATGATGCTAAGATTGTGCAACTTCATCCTTTGCAATAAATTTGCGGAAATTGTGAAAAACTATGAAATTTAGATGGTAATTTTTGTCTTAAAGGACTACGTGCAAAACGGGCCATTTGGGGCTCGGGGCGGATACCTTTGAGACTTGTCCTATTCATTCACCCAACAATGCCCCATCTTTTCCCAAAGTTTCAAGCCCCCCAAAAATTTTGGGGAGACGTGGCGGGGGGTCAAAGCTAAAAACCGGCAAAATTTTCGCGAATTTATTACTCGAAAACCAAGACGTTTTGGAAAACGCGGTTTAAACGAGCTTATTCAGCGCGACGAGAGCTTTCAGAAAATGTATAACATCATAGGGTTTGGTCAACTTCAGCTCGAGTTATCGCCTCCGAAGCGCCGGAACGCTGAAAACAGACCCCTTATTTTTTCACGTTTAGGCCGATTTAAAAAAAAGCCATTTTTTTATTTTCATGAAAAACTGATATGTTGTTCCTGACTCTCTGTAGCCCCTCTAACTCTTTACCGCATGCTGGGGAAATGTTTTGGTCGCGAGTTATAAGAGTGGAAAGGAGCGAAGGTCGGGAAAATCGGCTACTTTAAACTGCGCGCGGCGACAGATCAGGAGGGCAACAATGCCAGGTCGGCAGAGGAGTGTGATTCGCCGAACTGAGTGGGAGGGGACGTTTTCCCTCCGATCAACGCCGCGCGCGCAGTTTAAAGTAGCCGATTTTCCCGACCTTCGCTCCTTTCCACTCTTATAACTCGCGACCAAAACATTTCCCCAGCATGCGGTAAAGAGTTAGAGGGGCTACAGAGAGTCAGGAACAACATATCAGTTTTTCATGAAAATAAAAAAATGGCTTTTTTTTAAATCGGCCTAAACGTGAAAAAATAAGGGGTCTGTTTTCAGCGTTCCGGCGCTTCGGAGGCGATAACTCGAGCTGAAGTTGACCAAACCCTATGATGTTATACATTTTCTGAAAGCTCTCGTCGCGCTGAATAAGCTCGTTTAAACCGCGTTTTCCAAAACTTCTTGGTTTTCGAGTAATAAATTCGCGAAAATTTTGCCGGTTTTTAACTTTGACCCCCCGCCACGTCTCCCCAAAATTTTTGGGGGGCTTGAAACTTTGGGAAAAGATGGGGCATTGTTAGGTGAATGAATAGGACAAGTCTCAAAGGTATCCGCCCCGAGCCCCAAATGGCCCGTTTTGCACGTAGTCCTTTACAGTTTTTAGCGAGTAAAATAGAAACTATTAAGGGATAATCGGGTTTTCCCTCCAAGACAAAAGAAGTTGCACAATCTTAGCAACATTGCAATGCTAGTGGTTCCTTTTTGCAAAATGCAATCCAATTTAAAGTGTGTGATATTGATCCAGATTTTAAAAAACCGCAAAAAAGTATCTCCCACCGTCATCCACCACCTCTAGAGCCCAGAACGGTCGCTGTCTTGTTTTCCCTCCATCTAGCGAGACGTCTTTTAATTGGCTGAAAATCTGGGCCAAATCGTCGGGCCACATATGCTTCGCTGCATCAATCCTGAAAAGAATAAGGAGCATGCGCCGATTTAATTGATGGTATAAAGAATGCTTTATACTACGTTAAAATCTGAGAAACTGAACAGTTTAAACTATGCCAATCTAATTTTGCTGTAACCGCCTCTGCCTCGCAAAGATCGAGTTTCGGCATTACTAGAGGCAGCTCTCAAAAACAGCGAACCTCAGGAGACAAGAGGTCTTCAGGATAAACAATTTCACGTCTAAAAATGTTGCGGTTGGGTCCCTGGTAAAAATTGGCAGTAGAATCTGTGTTCCAAAATACCATGACCTGCAGTCGGCTGCAAGGTTTCTAATAGCTTCTATAGCCGGCAACACAATTTCTTATAGCCTTTTATAGCCGATGGCGATTAAGCAACAGCCTGGCGATAAAGTGTATGCTAAACGTTACTAATTACGGATGCTAGGACTTAGTAAGTTTTTGGACTACCGCTCTCTTTTTGGGCCGCAGTATCTTGATTTAATTTGCGAAGAAAGCTCCGTACTTTTGAAGGATACCTGCCATTCCTAATATGTTGGAGCGCCTTCAATTTCGAATGATATTGTGCAATACCTCTGGTGTGAAATAGTTGCTTCAAGCGCCGTGGTACGCTGCGGCGCGGCGGGCAGCCAGCGCTGAACGCGCATTGGCGCCTACAAACCTAACAGGGATACTTCACGCGTTGCGCAATGCGTGAAGTATCCCTGTTAGGTTTGTAGGCGCCAGTGCGTCGCCGCTCCGCTTTGTATTAGGCTCTAATATTTAATCTCGCGGAGTCGGCGTTTCTCAACTCATGACTTTGAAATGTTTGCACACTCTGTATGGATTATTATCATTTTAATTGATGAAAAAAAATATATTATAAAGGAAAATATAATGTGCGTTTTGTAAATATTAAGGTGATTCCGTACAAACTTAAGGATTTACAAAGTACACGAATTTCTACATAATTTTTTATATCCTTTTATAGCCGATGGCGAACAAGCAACAGCTAGGCGATAAAGTGTAAAGCCCGGCGATAGGAACTATAGCCCGGCTGAATAATTTTTTATCGCTTCGTGTAGCCCGGCCGTATGATTTTTGCCACTTTCTACAGCCAGCTATATGATTTTCTATCGCCCTCTTCAGTCGGCTATAAGAACTTCTATGGTATTTTGAAACGCAGCTCCTATCGCCAATTTTTACCAGGGGTTATTTTGTTAATTAATTACAAAATACACATACGCTGCAATTCATAGCTTTGTGTGAACGAGGTAATTCAAATATTGAAAACAAATTTAGACAGAAGACTTTTACATGCGTCCTTCGCGTCAATCCTTTTTGAGACGCGTGATAAAGGAGGCTTCTGTGGTTTCTTCCAGGATGGCAAAGTTTCATAAAATTGAAAATTGAAATTCTATACGTGAATTATTCAATTATAGAGGTGTTACGTGAAACATTGAATTTGAAATTTTACGTGCAATATTTCTGGAATTTACCGAATGAATATTTCATATCGTAGAGAATCAGCCACTCGCTTTAAATTCTTTCAACCTCATTTGGAGACATCGTAGTATTAATTTTCATCATTCGCCTTTCTTATGAAAAGGAAAAATTGCTAATTAAATCCAAAAAGCTAGGGCTTTTTAAATTTGCTTTTTCCTTCGTTTGTCGTTTTTTGATATAGGTTCAAGCCCTGGTTAGAAAACGAAAGCCACAGACATGCGGCCGTACTCGGCTGGTTTAATTTAAACGACATCACCAAGCCGTGTGATTATAGTAGCATGCACGTCATACCAAAGAGATTAGAAAGGTCAATGGTAATAAAAGGGGGTAACGAAGCCGAAACCATGATTTAAATCAAAGTAGAAAAACGAGAGTGGGTGGGCAATTCAGATTCACAAAATTATTCACGTAACTGTAGTCCCACCTGTCGAAATGTTTTTTGTATCACTCATTAGTTATATTTGTGAGATAATATCTTGATTTCAGCTCGAACTTGAGATCATTCTCGGAATTTAATTATACCCATGCACTTGAGAGCACTTATGCGAGATTTTTAACAAAATGTGATTACCGGAAACCAGCCACTCCATAGTCAATCAACTTGTTCATGAATTTTACAATTTTATCTTGAACGTATGGTTGTGTTTGATTTACATCCTGTAAACCCCATATTTCGCATATTCGTACCTGAAGAAACAAAAGAAAATTCTTAATTCTTATTAACTAGTAAATGTATCCATACTATAAGCTCGGAGACCCCCTGAACTTGTAAATGGTAATATAACGCTTAGTTCCAGCGTTCTACCGCCGGGCCGATTTTCATGATTTTTGTGGCCATCGACAGGCAATTGTCTCCAGATGAGCCCACTATACTCAGATTTTGAAAATATGACCCAGGATTTTTTATATTACGTGGTAAAGTTGCGAATAATATATTCTCCCATTTAAATAATGTAAATTTTTATTTTTTGTCCCAGTTCGTTTGAGCGTTTCCACCCGGCCGATTTCCATGATTTTTGCGGTTATCGACAGGTGATAGTCTCTAGATGAGCCCGCTGTGCTCAAATTTTGGAAATTGGGCCCAAGTTCCTTTATATAAGAGTAGATCAGGAAGCTTAGAAAGGGGGAAAATTTGAAATTCCCGCCAATGAAAAATAGCGAGCATTTCAAATTTAGCGAGAAATTGAACTAAGCGGGGAATGTTGAATCTTGGCCTGTTAGTAGGGTGAGTGAATCGAAGGTATGCTCCTTTGCTGAAGACTATCCATAAGCGACGAAACGCTCCGTTCCGTTCGTCCCGTTTCGTTTCACTCTTGACGTGAAGTTTGAAATAAATGCCGATTTTTTCATTCGATTCTTATTGGTCCATAATCGCTCCCGGCCAGAGGGAGATTGGATAAATGAGAGTCGGGTATGAAAATCTTTTCATTTTTTTTGGGTCGTTCTTTTGTCCAAGCGAGCGCGGAGCGCCCTCTGAGGGTTGGGCCGCTTAGCGGCCAGTGGGCACCCCTAGTTATTTAATAATGCCTATAGACGGATAAGGGAGCGTGCCCCACTGCCCCCCCCCACTGAAAAAAAAAACTCTGGCCGTGGGAGCCGCGGCCTATACGGGCTATATAGACATACCGTCCGTTCCGGGCTCAAAGGCCGAAAATTCCGGCTGCTGGAGGCGTAGCTTCGATTGCTCCGGGTTCAGAGGCCGAAGCTACGGCTCTAGTAGCCGGAATTTTCGGCTCCCACGGCCGGAGTTTTTTTTTTCAGTGAAACGGCCGAAAAAAGAGGAGGAGGAAAGAAAGGAGGAGGGGACGTTGGAGAGAAGATGGAGGGGCGACCATACATGGTAATTATTCATGACGAAATTGACTCAAACTGCATAATAGACGCTTTAAAATTTTTTATATAAACATATATAAAAATAAAACTTTTTTCTGAAAGGGATCCCAAACCCCCCCCCCCCAGTTCTTTTGAATATTAGTCAACTTCATTTCTTGAAAACTTCTTTGATTATTTGCCTCTAATATTCCATTGATAATTGCAAGCTACATTTTTTACTCGTTTCTCTTCGAAAAAATATAAAAAATAAGTAAGAATAGAGATTTTAAAACACCGCTCTAGCGACATGTAGAATCGGTGTTATCTTTGTTCTTTTAAAATGACCCTCCTATATATCCGATATGAGATGCACAACTTCAAAAATTGTGAATCGCAGGGGACTCAACGCGACTATGCCGGGGAGGTTTTCTCGTCATACACCGAGACGGAGAAATGTAGCCCCTCCTGATGAAGCTATACCGTACTTTAAATAGATTGAAAGTTAAACATTGCAATGAGACTACTTGCCGCAGTTCTGTTGGATCCATCACAATAGCAGGATTTATGAAAGTTTCGCTCGTCATATCCGAGACCTGGGTATTGCTTTCTTTTCACGTTGGCTACTGTGCCACCGACACCAACCACGTCCCCATTCGGTTCACCAGCAGCATGAGACACACCATGGTTTAGAACAGTATCCACGTATACTCTATTGACATCCGTATGAATAATTAAAATAATTATAATACATTGAATAGGTCGTCGTGCGAAAATTACCCAAGTCCATTTTTCAGCTTTGAGTTTTTTGTGCGTTGATCATTTTTTTCAAGAGTCGATGCAATCATGAGATTCTTGGAACCCCAAAACGAATCTTCTTACCACTTTAATTGTTGAATCTAACCTTGAAAAGAATTATTAACTAAAATTAACTCAAGACTGGAAAAATGTAAGTGAGCGGTTTCCGTTCGACGCGATGTAGTTGATCGATTGATTAATTGATTAATTCGAAGAAAAACTAGGGACCTCCAGCTGGTGATATCAAATCACAAGATGCAAGATAGTTTTTGCACGGTCAACCCTGGTGCAGACGACCATGTTGGTAACACGTTGGAATCATATTGATACCAAGTCAGTATGTCGTCAACATGGTAGCAGAATGGTATCAACTTGGTCGGAAATGCCACTATTATCTCAACGCGTTATCAACGTAGCACCAATTTGGTTTTCCCCAGCGTGGCGTCAACTTGTCTCAATGACCCTATTGTTAACAAAATTGCATCAATAAGTCAATATACTGATGATCTTAGGTCCAATATGATAATTTGTTGGCGTCAAGTTCACACCATCATCGTTATAATAACAATATGTTGCTGATAAATATGTTAATATTGTTGGTTTTTGAAAAATTGATTAAAGAGTCACACCGTTCACTCGTTTGGTGGGTTTAGATAAAAATACTCTATTTTGTGCACATCGTGATATCTATCTGCTTAACGTCAAACCCAAATTTTTTTACCGTTTAAATGGAGAGCTGAGGTGCTAAATGAGTGATACAACTATTTCGACTCCTGGGTGACTCAAGTTGCATAACCTTTGAATTGAAGGATAACTGAGTCTTCTCACTAGTAATTGTTGCGATGATGTTGCGCTGAGATATCAAATCGCAGGGTGCAACCATTTCAATTTATTGGTGGCGTAAATTGCATAACCTCATTATTGCAGGAGAACATCATCTCGAACATTATTGAGTCTGATATAGGAATAGAAAAACAAACCTCTTTTATTTCAATTTCATCTTGATTTGACTTGTTTCTTTTCTGTTTGGTTCAATCCATGTAATTCTCGCCTTACTTTAGTTATTCGAGTGCAAAAGTCGTCATGAATAGGAAGTTACCTCACTAGATTGCAAGAAATATATCTTACCTGACGTCATTTTTGTTACATTCTTCCACCATATCTTTGAAATCCTGTTCCGTGCCAGATCTGGTGACCATGTCCCACGATACAGGCTGGTATCGTTCGTACCACGGTCTGATGGTTTTACCATCCAATTGATGTCTGATCACAATGTTTTCAGTGACTGGAGAAACCTGCAAACAATACCTTGAGTAGTAGTAAACGTTAACCAAAACTAGAAATCATACATATATTTGAAACAGATCACCATTCGATTTTGTAACCTTGAAATTGAAGAAAATTATAAAGTCGTACTCAACGTTTACAGATACAAATTTTTAGGAGCAGCCCGAGACGATGATAACAGTGGAACAACAAAGATGAAAAAAACGGGAAACAAGGCTAAAAATACACAATTATGAAACCCAAAACGTAGTAAACGTGAGTAAACTCAACGTTTACTCAGTTCTCATACTCTCAAATATGGTTTATCTCAGAATTTTATGTTATTTCTTGGAAGTATAGTGTCGTGTAAAAAGTACAGGTAATGTGAGAATGCTAATTTCAAGATTTACCCTTACCTTATTTGCCATTCGATTTCCAAATTAAATTTTTATCACGCACATTGATTGCAACGTGGAGTTTTATAACAAAGATAGAATTTTTATAACGTGAATTAGATAACAAGGCTTGTGAATGACGAAGCAAAGATANGGGGGGGGGGGGGGGCACAAGCAAAACAAATGAGAAACTCAATAAGAAAAAATCCACAAACCAAGACAGCGCCAAATTGCTGAGGGCCCAGAAAATTCTTGCATTCTTCTTTAACAGCGTTGAAAGGCCATTCAAAAAGCTGGACCACCACTCGTCTATTTCCGCTCATCCCCGAGTCAAATTGACTGGCAGCCATACCAATACAGAGCACAAATGTATAACACCAAAACTTCCATGGGTTCATCTTCTATCAATTATATAAATAAATTTCTTCAGATCTGGTAACAGTAGAATTCAAACAATGAGGCAGCATTATTAAGACGGAATGGTCAAAAGAACTAACTTTTTCCATACCTCATCACTCGCAAAAATTAACTCTGCGTCGTTCCCCGCAAAGGTTAAAATGAAATTCAAAAGGTACCTAAATTTGATCCGGTGATTATCCAGTTTTTTGTTTTCATATAGGCAAAGTGTGCAAACTCATCTGAGAGAAGTGAAAAATTATAGGGTTATTAGCCCTGTAGCTACGTTATAGATAAAATATATTACTAATAATTTTACAATTAGTCCGATTATCCTGACAAAATGTCGTTTCATCTCCAACTAATGGGCTGCGCCTTTTAACCGCTTCGCGGTCCAACCGTCGGAGGCGCTTTGCGCCTCCAGCCTTATGAGATACGCGTTACTCCTATAATTTTATAATATATAGAGTAAGATATGTTATTCTTGGGTGAGATTCTCATTCAATCAACTTTCAATGGATCGAATTCGATCGCGAGACAACATGAGATATAGTGTCTAAAAAATAATTTCGGCCTCACAAAAAATAATGATGATCATGATATGAATAAATACCTGCGGGTTTTGCAAAGAAGCTCCTCGGTATTGGCACGGAATTTAAATAACGGAATATGATTCAGTGCAGGGGATTAAGGTAAAATACGATTATTTGTGACTTTGATTTGAAGAGCGTATGAGTGATATTAATTTGTTCCGAAACAAATGGAGAAAGCCATATTAGCCGACAAAAGCATGATTTTTCTAGCTGCATCATCGTGAAGATTAGATATCGGTTGTTGAGTCAAGAGGGGCTACCAAACTGCCCTGAAGTCGGCCGACTCTTGAATGTATCATGCTGTCTCTCATCACTCACTGTTAATGACGTCATAAAAAAATGAGATCAAAAGAGCCGGACCTAGGATGTTTTGTTTTCATTTAGTGCAAAACAAATGAACGACTCCTCGGGGAGAGGATTTCCTCAGCAAGATGGGAGGGTTTTAGGGATCATTCTTTGAACATTTAGAAAATTTCACGTTCCCTCGATGGCATTTTCAACTGGTTTTTTTTTTGACATGAATGAACAACTAGACAAGGCACGAAGCTAAGCATTCTGATTCACGTTCCTGACCAGAATTTCATGTAAAACACGATTCTCGCATCGGAAATTACTAAAATTAACTCCTACCCAAGATATATAATATATATTGACGCGTGAATTCAAACATCCCGCTCATGAAAACACGCACACTGGTCACATCGCGCACTAAACACCTCCGAGGAAGTCTCAATCTTGAGTTCTTGACGCTTTGGCTCAGGTATAGCAAGTTGCTTTTAGTTTGAATCATACAAGGTGGAAAATGAACAGTGATCGATTGAGACCCTGGTAAAAATGGGCGATAGGAGCTGCGTTTCAAAATACCATAGGAGTTCTTATAGCCGACTGAAGAAGGCGATAGCAAATCTTATAGCTGGCTGTAGAAAGTGGAAACAATCATACGGCCAGGCTACACGAAGCGATAAAAAAATTAACAGCCGGGCTATAGCTCCTGTCGCCTGGCTGTTGCTTTTTCGACATCGGCTATAAAAGGATATAAGAAAATGTGTAGAAATTCGTGTACTTTGTAAATCCTTAAGTTTGTACGGAATCACCATAATATTTACAAAACGCACATTATATTTTCCTTTACTACATATTTGTTTTTATCAATTAAAATGAGAATAATCCATACAGAGTGTGCAAAAATTTCTAAGTCATGAGTTGAACAACGCTGACACCACGAGATTAAATTTTAGAGCCTAATACAAAGCGGAGCGGCGGCGCACTGGCGCCTACAAACCTAACAGGGATACTTCACGCATTGCGCAATGCGTGAAGTATCCCTGTTAGGTTTGTAGGCGCCAATGCGCGTTCAGCGCTGGCTGCCGGCTGCCCGCCGCACCGCAGCGTACCGTGGCGCTTGAAGCAACTATTTCACACCAGAGTTATTGCACAGTATATCATACGAAATTGAAGGCGCTCCAACATGTTAGGAATGGCAGGCATTCTTCAACAGTACGGAGCTTTCCTCGCAAAATAAATCAAGATACTACGGCCCAAAAAGAGAGCGGTAGTCCAAAAACTCACTGAGTCCTTGCATCCGTAATTAATTACGTTTAGCATACACTTTATCGTCAGGCTGTTGCTTAATCGCCATCGGCTATAAAATAGTCCAGTACCAATAGGAGTTTATGAATGCAAGAAAGAGGTCAGAAGAGGTTAAAGCTGATTCTTATGTATTTTTGGTCGCTGAATCCGAATTTGATGCTTCCCACCAAATCCGCCTCGTGCAATTGCGGAAAAGCCGGAAAACTGCCGAAAATCACGTTTTTACGCGCTTTTCCGGGAATAAATAGCTTAATATTCGTCGGAGCGTAAAATTAGTTATCAGCAAAGTTGTAGCCGAGTAAATTGCCGACAATATTAAAAGGGACAAGTTTTCGCTAGGACGTCACCCAAAAAAACGATGCTGGGGTTGGTCAGTTCAAATGACAAACGTCTGATGACGTTTGAGTCGTCGTGGAGCATGTATGGATTTACTAGTTTTTTTTTCTTCTTTCTTCCGGAAACTAGGGATTTTTCCTTGACTAGGCTTGGTACTATGATGGATCTCCCCTTCGAATTTATAGGTTGGCAACGACTGAATTTTTCATGTGGGGAGGTTGGCAGCCCTTTCAAGCCCTACACGGCCTCCAAATAACGATTTTACTTATGAAAGTCTTCGAACCTAGGTGTACTCTGGTTTCACTTCAATGGGTCAAGTAAAGGTTGGCAACAACTACAATTCGGTTTCGAATATTCCGTGGAGAAAAGTTGGCTGCCCTTTCAGGCTCTAAGGCCTCCAAGAGCAAACTCAATCGCGATAGGCTCCCAACCTCGGTGCTTTATTTTCACTCCGATGTTTTTTTTTCAACGCATTTGATTGGTTTACGGTGATAGCCGACGTGACGTCACAGCTGAAAATGCTCCCGGGCTTTTTTTGCACCACGCCGTACGTTATAAATATAGGCACGAGGGGGTGGATCGGGCAGTCCCTGGCCAGGACTCGTTGGTAAAGGTATTATGTGTTGCATGTGTGTTATATGTTTTATATGTGTTATATGTTATTTATGTGTTATATGTTATTCATGTCTTATATGTTATTCATGTGTTATATGTTATTTATGTGTTATATGTTACATTTGTTATCTATGTGTTATATGTGTGTTGCGTGTTGCTTGAGTGTGTTGCGTGTTGCGTGTTGCTTGTGTGTGTTGCGTATTGCTTGTGTGTTACATGTTCCTTGCGTGTTACGTGTTGCTTGTGTGCTATATGTTGCTTGTATATGTTACGTGTTGCTTTTAAACGTTACATGATGCTCGTGTGTGTTATGTGTTGCTTGTCGCATGCTAGTTCTAATTTGTTGTTCTTTTTTATTTTTTGAGGTTTCTTTTCTCTTTGTCTTTTAGCGATTTAACGCACTTCCCGGTGTTGGTTCCTCCTCTTTTTCTACTAACTTTTTTTTTTTTTT